AAGTGGATGAATCTGATCTGCAAAGATATAGCAAGGTATGAGCGTCTTGCACGCGGGTTTAGTGTGTTTGCTGATGAGGTCCAGTGGGCAAATACCTCGCAGATAATCTATGGACCTCTTATATTCATCACAAAACTATCAGTCCTTTTGCTTTACTTACGTGTATTTGCTCCCTCCTTCAGAAGCAAGACCTTCTTGTGCATCCACGCTCTTATCTGGCTCAACTTGGGGTTCTACTTTGCAGATACGATCGTGAAGATCTTCGAATGCTCGCCCCGAGCGAAGATCTGGGATAAGACCCTCAAAGGCCACTGCATCAATATCAATATCCCCATCATTGTGACTTCCTCAATCAATGTGGCGTCAGACTTCCTGATACTGGTTCTGCCTATTGTGAGTGTGTGGCGCTTGCAAATGAGAAACTCCAAGAAATGGGGCACATCCGCGATCTTCGCTGCTGGCATCTTGTGAGAATCGCCCATTGGTATCCGGTGACCATGAGTATCTTCTCTCGGACTGACCAAGGTAATTGCACATAGCGCTTGCATGTGTAGTATCATGCGCCTTGTGGTCAGTGTACGGAACAAAACCGTCAAGGACAAGACCTATGACTGGTTCCCCGAGTTCTTATGGACGTAAGGCAATTTCCTCGCGTGGGTCATTATGTCTTTGATTTATGATCAAATTGCTGACACAGTGTTGCCTTTGTTCTCTGATGAAGGTCCGCCGAGGTCACCTCCGGGATCATAGCCAGTTGTATGCCGGCTTTACCAACCTTCTTCAGACACTTCTTCAACCGAGCACATGCCCTTATCTCGAGTGCAAGCACCAGCTATTCGTCCCGCTCGGCGAAGAAGGCGATAGAAGTAATCAGTTGGCCTGCCAGCCGGTCCGTACGTCAGAAGACTCAGTCGAGCGGCGGCCTTAGCATGACCGAGCTCTGCCGGAGCACCAACTGCGAGCTGGATGATATTGAGCAACAGCCTGAGGAGCACACAGGACGTATCTTCTTAGGGGCCGGTTACACGACTGCTGGTGCCCAAGTGGGTATACTTGGGCTTCCAAAAGTGGTGTCGGACAGTTATACATCCGAAAGTCGAGGCGCTGAACATGGGTTAGGTTATCGTTCGGGGATTCTAAAGACAGTTGAGGTGGATGTTGCGTCTCAGCGAGGATGAGGCTTCTTATATATTCCGGCAATACCCTTTCAGTATGTCAACGTCCAGTAGAAGTCGAGTAATACATCATGCGTACACAAGGGCAGATGAAGAAGCATACCTTCCTGAAACGGTAAAGTGCAAGCTCTTATCCTGGTACGGGAATGCCCCATGCGGCAAGGGCGATGTACGGATATAGGTCAGCCACCCTAGCCCTAAGCCCTAACCGCTCGCCTACGCACCAACGCGGGTGACCAACCAAAACTTTGCAAACTCCATCGCGATTCTATCCGCACCGACGACCGTTGACTCGACAACTTCCTTCAGCAACCACCGTCGTCGCCAAACCCCAGTCACAACCGTCGAGATGGCGCAGGAACGTTCCGGAATCGTGGTCGGTCTGAACAAGGGCCACGTACGTTGAATCCCTCTCCCGTTTCCCTAAGAAAATGAGTGTTTCCGGTCGGTATTTGTCCAGTCGACCTCGAAAGATTTGGATTGGGGATAGGAGCATAAAATATGGAGGGGACATATTGTCGGATTGTTAAGGCACAGTTCCTTCTTGAGATGGAGGAAATGGGACGACAACGGATGTACCAATCGAACTTACTGGGCCCGACTTGACAAAAATCGATCGGAAGCATTCGAGTTTGGTTTTAGAAATGAGGAACAATCAGTGAAGCTGACCTGGGTTCCTATCATAGAAAACCACCCCTCTCAACACCCCCAAGACCCGGATCAGCCGCACCAAGGGCCAGTCTTCCCGCCGCACTGCCTTCGTCCGTGACATCGCCCGCGAGGTTGTCGGTCTTGCCCCCTATGAGCGTCGTATCATCGAACTTCTGAGAAACACTCAGGACAAGAGAGCTCGTAAGCTCGCCAAGAAGAGGGTATGTCAAGAGTTCTGGATATTGGTCTTCATGGGTGTTCCTTTCGCTCGCTTCCCTGGGAATTGCATGATTGCAGTGTCTGCGGTTCGGAGTACAATCTGATGAAGCATACGGCAATTGTCGGTTGGAGACTACGCCCGCCACGAATCAGTCCGTTCAATTACGGAGATCACCGACCAGTGGCTTGTGGAGCGAGCTGGGGAACACTTGCTGAGAACCTTAGCAATCGTTCATGAACAATGCTAACGAATCATCTGTTATAGCTCGGTACCTTCACCCGTGGCAAGAGAAAGGTTGAGGACATGCAGAGAGTCATCGCCGAGTCCAGACGTGTGGCTGGTCACTAAATTCGTTTTTCCTTCCTCTGAAAATGTGTTTATTATCGCCAGAGAACGAGATAACGAAATTTAAGTGAAATCGTTTCGGTTGCTGAGTTGGCGCATGGAACCTGGAATTGCTGTCCGTAACCTTCAATTCTTCAAAAAGGCCCAATGGAAGGGACACAATCATGATGCAATAAGCATGGACTAAATACCAAAATGGATCTCTTGAATCTAATGCAACTGGGAGTTTTGGGGCTGGTCTTACGGCCTCGGTGAATCTGAACCTAACGCTACATTTATTCTATCGAAACACTTTCTCTCTGATCGATCCACCTATCACGCGGATACAATTCTTTGCCAATACTCCTCTTGTGTCCCATATCGCTCGCAGCGAATGCATGATGTCCTTAGCTCCTACCGTCATCATCTATGCATTCGACTCCCATGGCATCAAGTAGACGGCGGAAGTCGAGTATATTTCGAGCATGCCGTAGATAAATCGTAACCATTGATCATTCTAAACATACACAATGTGATTATTTCACGCTAATAACGCAAATGCTATTGCGGGTTCTCATTTCTTTCCCGGCAGTTTCAGCCACTTGGGTATCCCGCCGGGTTTGCGTCCAGATTTCTCTCCATCGCGGTCGCCGGGTCCGCTCACCTTCGGTGGGACAGTATCTTGCGAAGTATCCATCAACTCTGGCGGCTGTTCGACCTTGATCTCCTGAGCTTGGTTCCGGAGCTCAGGCTTCAGAAGACTTGCTCTGGTTGATCGAGCGGCGGGAGACGCACTTGCGTCCCAAGAGAAGGTGACGAGGACTCGGCCGATCATGCCAAGATCCTTGATCAAGAACGTCTGATCTGTATCAGGAATGATACTCTGAATCTTTTTTGCACCTGAACCCGGGGGCCCAGCAGGGAAAGACGTGAGTATGAATCTCTCGCCGGCAAATTGCTCCGACAAACAACTTCTAACGAAGCCGTAGAGCGTTGCGCCGGTGTCTTGTTGCCCGAACTTTGAGACTATCTGGCTCTGGTCCGGAAGGCGAACCTTGACATCGACTTCTCTGATCGCTGCACGTTTCTCTTCCTCCTCTGCTGCTTTGGCGGCGATTTCTGCATCCGTGGGAAGACGGACGGGCCGGGAGGCGGCAAGGAGACGGCGCTGGTGGGCTTGTGCTTGGTCCACAGATGGAACGTAGTCGTCTTCATGATATGTCATTTGCGCGGCCTGCGGAGTGGTGTTGGACGGTGCTGAGAAGACTGTGACTGGTCGCGGAGAGGGCTGGTTCACAGCAGGTGATTCGGTAGAGGTGATGGAGGGATGAGAAACAGGTTGCGGTACTTGTGCTGATGGCCCAGGTGCTGGTGCTGCACCCAGGGGTTCAGCATGTTCAGCACTCGGCACTCGTTCTAGAGGTTTCGAATCGGCAACAGTAGGTTGTGCTGGCGCAGCGGCCGCCACTTGTGGTTTCGGGGCAGCATCCTCAAACGCTTTGAAGTAATCTTGAATCTTAACCATAGCCACCTCCAGAGGTTCCTCTGTCCGCCGGAAACTTAACCTGACTAGGACATTCCCACTATTGAACCCAAGCTGCGCTAGCGACTTCTGGAGATCTTCGAATGTCGACAGTTCTCGCCCTATGATCTGAACTACCGGAGTCTCGTAAAATAAGCGACCGGATCCCTCGTTGCCAGCACTGGCGACTGGGACGCCTCGCCCAGTGAAATTTCGAATCGGTCCGCCACCTGCAACACCCGCCTCAAACTTGCGCAGCACTAGCCATAACGTTGTTGTGCTAGGGAACTTGTCTAGAAGCCGTCCGTTGGGCACACCTCGAGCTTCTGCCTCGGGCAGCTGTAAAGCAACCGTGACAATGGAAGGCGATCGGGAGAGCTGTACTAATTCAAGTTTCGCACCGGAAGCCAGGCCGGAGAGACGGAAGACCAAAGAAAGATCGAGCTGTTTGCCCTTGTACCTTCCCAAGTGTTAGAGTCCGTTTCATTGCTTCATCAAAAGCTCAGGTCACTTACTTGAGGCCGTACTGGCTCGCATTCAAGCCGAGCTTAGCACATGCTTCTTGCAGAATATCCGTCAAATGTTTCCCGGGTGTTGTTTTGATTGTGGCTCTTCGAGCAGTCGAGTCTAGAACGACGACATGTGAGCTCATGGTTTGAAGGCGATCGCTTGCTTTAATGATATTATTATTGCGGGGCAACTATGAAGCAAGATGGCAGTTGGGGGACTCCAGGATGAGATGGAAAAAGAAGTTGACAAAACCGGGAGTTCTATATCTGAATAGGAAGAAGATTTGTAGAGGAATAGAATAGAAGTTCGAAGAAAGAGGAGGGCATGAGAAAATCAATATTCATCTACCTATGGAGTACTTTCGACGGTTCCCGTAGGCAGCGGGCGCAGCGTCATCCGCAACGAAGCTCTCGGCGGCTCTCACGCGTTGGACCAGCAGCAGAGCTTCCCCGTCATTTATCATCCTTCTCCATCATCGGCATCACCTTCATCCTCACCTTGAACCCCATTCTTCTCCTCCCCCCACCTCTTCCTTTCCTTCAATTTGACTCTCTCGGATCTCATTCAGCTTGCAATTTCTAGTCATACCTAATTCATCATGGTAAGTTGAGCTTCCCCTTCGTAACCTGACCGGCTTGAGCTAATTGAACCCAACCTACAGAGCTCTCCCTTCGATATCAGTACGCACTTTTTTTTTTCCCTGATCCTTACCACGATCTCACATACAAGAGACTGACTGTGTCTTCTTTAGATGGCGGAGCTTGTGTCGCCATGGTGGGCAAGGACTGCGTTGCAATTGCCTGCGACCTTCGACTGGGCATGCAGGCCTTGACAGTCTCCAACAACTTCCCCAAGATCTTCAACTACGGTCCCTCGACTTACCTCGGTTTGACTGGCCTGGCCACGGACGTCAACACTGTCTCAGACCTCTTTCGCTACAAGGTGAACATGTACCGACTCCGCGAAGAACGGAACATTGCGCCCCAGACTCTGGCCAACCTGGTCAGTTCATCGCTGTATGAGAGACGCTTCGGACCTTTCTTCGTGAGCCCTGTCATTGCTGGCGTGAACAGCACGACGGGTAAGCCTTTTATTTGCGGGTTCGACAGTATCGGATGCATCGATTTCGCCAAGGATTTCATTGTCAGTGGTACGGCGAGCGACCAGCTCTTCGGTACCTGTGAGGGTTTGTGGGAGCCAGATCTGGTACGTTTCTTGGTTCAGCTTATATTGCGAGACGGTTTCGCTAATGCTCGATTTTACTTTTTCTCAGTCCCCTGAAGATTTGTTCGAGACCATTTCTCAAGCCCTCCTCAGTGCAGTCGACAGAGATGCTCTTTCCGGTTGGGGTGCTCAAGTATACATCATAGAGAAAGACAAGGTGACGAAGCGGCTACTCAAAGGAAGACAAGATTAGATGTTCTGTATTTGGCACGCATTCCGCTTATTTTCGTTTAATGCCATCTCTCAATCGTATCCTGGTCGAAACCTACTGGCTGAAGCAGTCGCTCTCGTCTCCTATCTGACTTAAAGCCTACATACCGTCGGTTGATGGGGGAAGCAAGAGCACAGCGATGTCGGTCCATGTACCTCTAGCTTCTGAAGCATCAGCCTGACACGAACCTGAATTAGCAAGGGCAGACGGCTGCTTTACGGCCTTGATGACTATTTCTTCATGAACTTGGATTATAGCTTCCCACACTTAGTAGCCATTCTTTCCGGTTACGGCGGCATACGCCTGGCCACGCTTCCCCAGAAAGCTTCTCACATCAGCAGCGAGCAGCTCAGGTACTTCCCACGCGGCAAAATGACCGCCACATTCAAACTCACTTTCCCGCACCACCGAGCCCATGCTCCGACACCACAAGAAGGGTAACTTGATCAACTCTCGTTTGAAATGTGCCACGGCCAGCTTGACCTCCCCAGGGATGGACCCGGAGATTGCATCAACGGTGGACACCCTCTTCAGCGCCGACGCTGTCGCATCAGCAGGCGGCGTCTGCGCAGCCTCATAGTAGATACGAACCGAAGCCGCCGGGCCGGCGGCCGAGAACTGGTAGACGCTCACCCAGGTGAGGATCTCATCGTCCGTCCAGGGATAGTCATCCGCCCACGCGTGTAACTTGTCGTAGATCCAAGCCAGTAGGGCGACGGGACTATCGTGTAGCCCATAGCCCAGTGTCTGGGGGCGAGTTTCCTGCTGGCGCAGGTAACCATTTCCCCGGTTCAGATAGTCGAGGGTAGTCGAGATGAGAGCCCTGCTTTTGGGTGAGAAAGGAAGTGTGAGGATTGATTGCAGAAAGATCCACGGGTGGCGCCATGGGTAGGGAGGAGCCACAGGGGCGAAGTTGAGATGGACGGCTTTGACGTGCTGGGGGTAGAGCGTTGCCATGACGCGGGCGATGATGCTACCCCAGTCTCCTCCTTGGATAACTATCGACTTGTCAATAAAGTGGTCGTGATATTGATACTCAATGGAATGGATCGTCATGGAAGCGTACCGTATTCCTCGTAGCCCAGATTCAGCATGAGAGAATGCATCGCTTGGGCATATTGCGCCAGACCAAAGCCTCGCTACACATAGACAGCGAGTCAGCTAGAGCAGTACAGCATGTACTGATGACACAACTTGGACAGACCTGTTTCACGCCCTGCGAGAAGCCAAAATTTGGCAGCGAAGGCACCACCAGGTCAAAAGCCGGCTGATTCTCGGCGCCTCTCGTCAAGAGAGGTATCAGCTTGACAGCCTCAAGGAAACTTCCTGGCCCTGGATATTGTAAACCAGTCAACACCTTCATCTACAAAAAGCCAACCGCGCATATGGTACGTTACAGCCATGTAGGAAGAGTAGCGGGATAGCACCCGGCGTAGAACTCTTCTGGTGCACACAGTGGATATCCAGTTGCGCAAAGCCCGGAACAGAGACAGAGACCATGAACTGGTGCAGTTTTTCGTTCAACTCCTTCTCCTTTGCGCGCCAGTCGAAGCCATCGCGCCAATATGCGGTCAGTCGTTTGAGTTCGGCCAGTGGGACTCCCAGCTCCCAGCCTGCTGCGTCTAGTTCATCGGGGAAGCTAGCGGATTGAAGTTTTTGGTTCAAGAGATCCAGTTGGGAGTCGGAGATACTGATGTTGAAAGGCCTGATTATATTCATCGTGATACTGTCTCGGTTCAAGTGACAGCTGGATTGATCGAGGCATTGTAGATACTCCGTACCATGATGCGCATATAACCCAGCTGTCATGCCGTCCGACGGATCTACATATGACGCCGATCGATACCTCGGTCCATAGGAGCGTTTTGTACCTTGACGATCTTAAGTTGATTTATCTACTCCGTACAGAGAACAGAACAGGCACATGGAGTGAGAATAGCAATATCATAGCTACCGTAATCACTACCCTTCTAGTACCTGCAATGAAGCCATAGCAGTCCAGAGCATATCCGAAGTTGGGACAGAAAGCCATGCCTGAACCATGGAACTAGACTGTTTCCAATCAATGAACCGATAATTATTTAGCTCATCTTGCACCAGTCCTTGGAATGATTATGGCCATGTCTCATCATCTAAGGATTGATTGCCAGCAGGTTAAGAGTCCGACATCCTGAACCAGGCCGCTAGCAAAGGCTCAGTCCTATCTATCTTCCAAGTCGAACAAGTTCGGGTTAAATTCAACACTTCGAGTGGAGGAAGCATTGTTTCTGGGGATAGAAAAAGGCAATTTTGAACATTATTATCATCAGTGTCATCAGTGTCATCTTCGTCATCATGCTGTCAATTTGCCACTCCAGTGTTGTCCACTTTGTCGTTCGTTCTAGATCTCAGCCATCGAGCTTCTCGCCTGTAAAAGTAAGGCAAGGGGAGGAGGTGCGGCGTCTGTGTACAACCAGCGATTAATTCAGGCACCTCATGGCACAGAACCACAATAAATGTGGTCCACCCTGTTCCTGATCCAAACCAAGCTTATTATCTCGTTTTACCTCTCCTCTACTTTCAGGATGAAATACTACGAGAATGAGGGACCAGCTTATTATTTCTTTATTACTGGTGAACCTAAGACTTTTAAAAGCATTGACGAAACAAGGGGATAATAATAACAATAATTTAATCCCCATAGGATCGGCATGCTGAGGCCTACGGTTTGCAGCGTTTCAGCCTTCCCGTGTGTCTAGACCAGCCGATGGGGGGGAAGAAATGGATCTGTCCAGTTTGAGAGAGAGCAGACTGGTTAGGCTGGAGTCTTTTTGCAGATGGAAATCGGAGATAATGGAAGTCTCTTCTGGTCATTCATCCCTCCTAGACATAGTGCCTAGTCTCTACTCCGTAGTACTACGTACTACTAATTGGTCTCATACTGAGAATATATTGATTGACTACTCGACCAACACAGTTCTCGCCTATTCCCCGCGTTATTTTCTCTCTGCTTGTCTCCTAGTCTACCTCTCCTCCATTAAGATCCATCGTCTTAAAACTTATCAGATCAGCGCAATCCTCGTTCTCTCACCATGTGCTTGTCCACTTAATCTTTCGTCCTTCGCTGCGTTTCCTTGAATGGACCGCTAACATAATCTACGTTGTTCCTTTCTCCAGATAGAGAGCCATGCTTTGTGTTTCGCTCAACGATACCTTGTCCAGTGAATCTCTGATATCCCGGAAATCCGCAGCAGTCTCCTGGCGCCCACCTATACCTTAACAGCGGAAGCAGCAGAGGAAAAGGAAACAGCGAACACCGTTGGTAGAGGGAGATCAGAACCACTACCTATTGGCAGCGAAAACTCCATTCCAAGAATTATGTCCGATTCAGTCGAATCAGAATGGTCGGATCCAATCCTCTCCTGCAGAACCATGTCATTTCTCCCCTACAAATCCCAGTGTCTCCCTGGCGATACGACTGCCACTACATTCCGAGACGATGAGCCGGGGTTGAACTCCTCGCCCGCTTGCAGATACGCCGGCAGTGCCCAAAACATCGCCATTGAGCGTTTGGTAAAATTGAAGCAGGAACTCAGAGCTCTTGACTCGGAGTCATTCTGGAACCGGCTCATGGAAAGCGTCACCTCGATCTGCGATGCCCAGTATGGCTTTGTAGCTCGCAAGGTCCAAGACCATGAGTTCGTGAGCGAGACTGGAGATCACAAGCCAAGCCTGTTTGGCACTGCGTTCTATTACAATGATGGGTATCAGACAGTTGGGATGCACAGGCACAGGTATTTTGCTGGGGGCAATCCTTTGTCACATATGGACCACGAGAAACCATGTTTGATCCCCGAGAACCTTGAATCGCTTAGTTCTTTCTGTCCGGACAAACTTCCATTTCCCGCGGACGGATACTTGGCTGTGCCGCTCTTCTTTCAAACGAAGTGTATCGCCCATCTCGGTCTCATGTGGTCCAAAACTGGCCTACAGAAGCGAAGTCTATCGTGGTCATTCCTAGAGATGATCCTGTATTCGCTAGAAGATTTGGTTGTCCAACAGATTCAGAATGATGCCGAGTGTCCGAAACTGCACGAACAACTGAAGAGAGAAGCCGCGGGCACCCCCGGAAGTGGAAGAACCGTCGACGATTGCTACGCCGAATTCACGACTCAGCCGCTCAAGCCGTATGCTCGAAGCCTGTCACATGAATTACGAACGCCAATGCAGGGAGTTGTGGGGATGCTGGACGTCATGCATGCCACCGTACGGGAGGCCATGCAGGGGAAATCTTCTGCAAAAAATGGATATGTCTTTCAATCTCTCAAGGAAAGCATCGAGATGGTTCAAGGTTAGTTGTGAGACATCATCCTTCCGGAGCAAGCCGCTAATGCAAACGAATTACAGACAGTGCAAGACGGGCGGTCGAGGCTGCAGATAATGTCGTTCATGCCTACGATCTCAATATGCAAGTTCCGAAAACACCCCAGCGGGAGCGGGAGAGCGATCCGTTCCGTGGCCCGGTCCAGTCACCAATTGAAAGCCTGCCAAACATCTTCACCGAAGGCAGCAACATTGCAGTCAACCCATACAAACGGCGACGAAGTAATCCTGCTGACTGGAACGAAGCATCGACGCCAAAGGCTAAGGCGCCCCGACGCTCAGTCAAGAATGAGCTGTCTCCACGGAGTGAGGACGTCAAGAATGCCGTCCACGAAAGCGAGCAAATCGTTCACGCAAATCCCTCACATCGAATTGAAGAGGTCATGGCAGGCATGGTGGAGACGCGTCCTCCGTTAGCTGTGAGGAGATCGGCACCCCATCTTCTGCTGGAAGGCATCAATCTCAATATGAGAAGCCCCTCTCTGAGAGTAACCAAGCTTCGTGACCTGCTTCGACTGGTGATAAACGAATCGCTCCATGTCGGCGGCCGACCTGATTTTACTCTGAGCGAGGTTACAGAGCTAGGAGAGAGGATTGAGGTTCGGACCCGATCTTCCAATGGGGAGATGTTCTCGAAGACTATCGTGTGGAGCGTCGATGAAGCGCTACCGGAGACTTTGCTTGTGGATGACAAAGACCTGGCAAAGTTGATTTCATGCGTCTTTCTAAACGCAGTGAAGTTCACAAATAGTGGTATGATTACAGTCAGCGCAAAGGTTGGTCCTAATGTCGGTGAAGTCTTCATCACCGTGCGAGATACTGGACCAGGTATACCAGAGGCATTTTTGCCCAAGCTCTTTACACCTTTCGCAAGAGAAGATGCGTCAATCACTCGGAGCAAGGACGGCCTCGGTCTCGGACTTCTTGTCGCTAAGGGTCTTGCTAGGAAGATGGGTGGTGACTTGATCTGTGTTCGCTCGTCTACCTCTGGGCCCGATCATGGCTCGGAATTTGAAATCAGTATTCCCGTCACTCAGTCCAAGTTAAGCAACAAGCCGGTAGTTTGCACGGCAAGTATACCGACGCCTCCTGACGGCGGCGATCCCTCGCGATTGAGTACAACGAGTACTTCGAGCAGTTCCGGCCTGGAGCAGTCCATGATATCACCCTCGATTCGCCGGCCCAGCCAGCCGATCCAACAGCCATCCCCAAGCCTGACCGAAGGAATTTGGTCTCAGACATCGACCCCCGTTCGCTCCGTATCCACCGCGAAATTTATCCGCCCTTCAATCAATGGGGATGCGTATGACGAGAAGCTCGGACAGAAGCACCCGCTCACCTTCCTAGTAGCTGAAGACAATATGATAAATCGACGGGTTCTGGTGAGCATGCTCAAACGGCTTGGGTACCAGCATATTTACGAAGCTTGCAACGGAAAGGAAGCTGTGCGCGTAATGCAGGACGTTTTGGCATCTCAGACATCCAAAACCTCGGGTCGGTCCTCCGACTGTCGGAAAAGGCAAGCAGAGGATCAGTTGGGAGACTGCGCATGTAAGCGCACGAAACCAGTCGATGTCGTCTTGATGGACCTCTGGATGCCGGAAATGGACGGTTATGAGGCAACGTCGAAGATCCTCAGACTGGTAGATGAATACCAGCTCCAGGCCCTTCAGAAACAACCTAACTGTCAAGCCAATAACTTACTGCTGCCGCTCCCCACGGTCCTTGCCGTCAGTGCAGATGTAACCGATGAGGCTCTCGGACGTGCCTCCAAAGTTGGCATCAAAGGCTACATGACCAAGCCTTATAAGCTGTCAGATCTGGAACGATTAATTGTTGAGTTCTGCGGCGAGGCAACGATCCCAAATCTTGACCGGACGAACATATTATGACACCTGACATGATTCGCGTTGCTACTCCCGGCGCCTTCTCACCTCTGCCTTTTGCATGTTATGGTTTGGACGCCTATTTAATGTTTTCTATACCCAGTTCCGTGTAAGATGAAACTCACGGACCCGTTTTGTTTTAATTTTATGATTGGTGATACATCTTCTTTGTTGGTACATCATTTACGGCCGATGACTGACAAGATCACAACATCTGAATCCATTTGCATTCCAATAATAGATGGAATTGGCCGTCTGCAAGCACTTTGTTTCTGGTACATACTACATGAAGAACGCAAGGAGGGCACTGGTTTGTAAACCAAGTCATTACATCCATATCAAGCTCAATCCACAACTATAACAATAGAACGCTGGAAATGCAACAGATAGAACTCAGGATAGTATGAGTGTGCCAGCCCGCAAGTGTCATCACAGGCCATTTCCTTCTCGTTGTCTCAACTGCAGCCAAGATACCACGTCTGCTGTCAACCCAACAAACAAGCGTAGACAATCTACATTTATATGTCCGTCTTAGTAGCTGGGTGGTCTGAAGATATACTCCATAGTCCGCAGATATATCCACTAGAGATGATACAGATCGAGAGAAAAGGAATGCTACTTCCCATGCAACAGATGTCCGCCGACTAGTTTCCCTTTCCTGCGCCCAATTCCACCCCCTTACGTCAGCTTCTGCTTGATGAAGAAGGACCGGAGATGTGACAGTTGCCAGGCACATGTAGCGGAAAGCACGGCGAGTTGGATGAGGGTCCAGCGCACAACTCTGCCGTTGGTAGCCTCGGATTGATCACGGAATTCAGCTTCACGCTCCTACAATCGAAGAAAGTGGCAAATCAGCAACCGCCATCCTCCAAAATTCAAACAGTGTAGGAAATTTGGAAGAAGAAAAACATACCCGTTGGAACACCTGCTCACGACGAATGTCCTGTAACCGCCCATTGAGATCCTTGACCTTCTGCACAATATCCTTCATCTTGTCCTTGTCCTCGGTCTCGATCTTGCTCGTCTCGCCGATGGCAATGTCCAGGTTCACCCTGACGGCGCCCGCGGGGGCACCGGACAGCCAGCCTCCAATGGCAGCGTTGGTGTCGGGCGTCAGACAGATTCTGTGCTGGCCGGCGTCGGCGGCGGAGAAGGTGAAGCGGCCGGCGTGGCCGTCGCGCTTTGAGACGACGCGGTGGTCGTTGTCGAAGGTCTCGTCGACGGTGATGAGCATCTTTAAGCTTGGGTCGACCGAGTACGTGTTGGACTGCTGGTTGATGACTTCGGTCTTGAAGTTTCCTGCTCATTCAGAAGAGATTTCTCAATTAGCAATCAATCCACAGTAAACAGAGTCAATAGAATGGCCATCACGTACCAACAACCAGAGTGTCCTTGGGCAAATCCTCAAAGAAGCATTTTGTTTGACGGCCGTCCATATAGAAGTAGAGGGCATTGGCGGGCACAGCAAGACAGAGTACAGCACATATGGCCAGGGCTGATGAAAGCCACGAGGCCGATGATCTGGTCGGAGCCATGTTGAAGATCCCAATTGAAGTCAGGACGACAATCGATGCTGGAAGGGAGACTGGCGTTGTCGATGGTTGATGTTTGAACTGAAGATCTGGCACCAACAACGGGACGGCCTTGGCGCGATTCAATGGGCGGAATGGAGGAAACCAGCCGGTTTCTGCGTGCTGGTTTCCTTCTTTCAGCCATCACGGTCGGCATCTCATCATTGATTCCATCTTTAATTTTTCTATTATTCTCTTATCTAGTCCTCTGTCACTAGAGGTATTTGATCATCCTGCGAACTTCTAGATCGACTGAAACCTTTTTCCGGTGATTTTAATCGCCATCATGGCCGCCGCCGATGTGCGCGACATGTTGGATTTGCCCGCAGAGGGCCAGCCTCGACCTCACAAGAAACAGAAGGTGGTCGAGAAGAGACCAGGTCGGTTTGCATCCATCATAAATCCCACTAGATACAGACACTGATATCCAGGCCTCAGAGGGGATTACTCGCGAGCTCTACGCGCTTCTAGGCGAAAGGGCGCCTCCGATCGCCATCAACGAGAACCGATACAAGGGAAGGCCGAAATGGATGAGCAAGCTCAGAGTGCGCCCATGGTATGCTCTCGATTTGCGGAGATTTGATGTTATGACTGTGCTGATTGTTTTTCCCTTACCAGGCAAATGACCCCATTCACCAACAATGCTCGATCGGATGGGCTTGTTCTGCGTCACTGGCAAAGACAACCCGAATCCGCAAAAGCACCGGCGCTTGAAGGGCCTTCGGAGATGGAGGTCGATGAGGCGAAAGTGGAAGGAGGGGTTGCAAAACCAGAACAGGAGTATGCATTCGCAAAATACAATGTCAAAGCTCGAGTACCGAGACGCTACACGGACGAGGAATACAACCGGCACTTGAAGAGCGATGACTGGTCGCGGCAGGAAACGGACTACTTGATGGACCTCGTCGAAGAGTACGACCTCCGCTGGGTGGTTATTGCCGATCGCTACGATTTCCAGCCTCAACCCATGGACGCCGAAGCGAATGCGACCGCGCTCGTCCCGGCTAAACGGTATCGAACAATGGAGCAGATGAAGGCGCGGTACTACTTCATTGCTGCATCAATGCTCGCGCTGGAACATCCCCCATCAGAAATGTCCGAGGCCGAATTCGATCTGCACGAGAAGATGATGAAGTTCGACCCAGACCGCGAGCGGGCTCGCAAAGAGCTTGCTGCACTCCAACTAAACCGCACTGCAGACGAAGTACGCGAGGAAGGAGTACTTTTGGAAGAACTCAAACGCATCACATCCAACGAGCAAAACTTCATGACCGAACGCAGGGAGCTCTACTCTAGACTCGAAGTGCCCATCAGTGTGGGTAATACTACTATGTACCAGTCTAGCCAGGGCTTATCCCAGCTCCTGCAAACCCTCCTCCAAGCCGACAAGAGCAAGAAACGACGCTCCATTCTCGGACCCGAAGCCGCCGCTCCCAGCCCCGCTGGACAAACACCCACATCGAACGGCCCAACCAGCGCACGCGACAGCCGAGCAGATACCCCCAGCCAGGCATCTGTCGCTCCGTCCAGCAAGAAGGGATCCGCCGCCGCCGCCGCCGCTGCCGCAGCAGCAGCAGCAGCAGCAGCCAAGGAGCCCCCGCAAACCGTCAAGACGCTCACCCCGGCCGAAGAAGCCAGGTACGGCGTACTGCACCACGAACGTCTCGCTCCGGGCGTGCAGTTCAGAAGCGATCGCGCACAGAAGCTCACTCAGGCCAAGTCCAACGTGCAGTCTCAGAAACTCGCCACGGCGCTGGCAGAGCTGGAGATCCCGCCGCGTCTGCTTATGCCTACGGAGCGCGTTTGCAAGGAATTCGAGAAGCTTATCCACTCGGTCAACCTGTTGCTTGATGCGCGCAAAGTGTCCGAGAAGATCGAGAGTGAGATCCGTGTTCTGGAAGCCGCCAGAGAGGAAAGAGAGCGCAAGACGAAGGAGGTCAAGGACAAGGGGAGGCCCGAGGTCAAGGCTGAAGAGGTGGAGAATCCTGATTCTACAGCTGGAGACTCTGCTACGGCTGCTCCCGCGGCAGAAGAGCGAGCGGATATCGGACGGAAAGGTGTCGAAGCTGGCAAAGATGCGGATCAGAGTGCGGGGGACCGCGATGGTGTATCTCATAAACGCTCAGCCAGTGTACTGAGCAATGGGAGCGATAAGAGTACCAAGCGGCAAAAGAAATAGCTTTCTCGGTGGGATATCCGGCGTCGGTGTTGGTGCATTCTAATATACCTTTGTACGACTACATGAATTGATATCATTTTCTGGCCCATTGGCAGTCTTCATATTTTCTATGTGCTAATAGGGATAACATTCTGGGTTAGCCAAACGGCATGGTCCCATGGGTGTCACTGCTCGCCTTGAATAGACAGGCCGAAAAAGGCATTCTTTGAAGTCAGGTTCCGTCAGACTACGCCCGTCGCAATCCAAGCTCCATCTCTCTCAAAGTCAAGGATCCATTCCTCCAGAGAACTTCACTCTGGGTCGGAATACAATTCGAGGCAGTCTTGGTACATGCTAGCCCAATCATCGATGGTTGTTTCCAGGTCATCGCATTGGAGGTGTTCCTCATTGTCCGCATGGGAGTGCTGGACCTCAGGTCGTTCGAAAGCATCTTGTGAGATTATGCAACCTTCTTTGTCTTGAGAAGTACTGTGTGAATTCTCTTCCTTCACAGTATGCTGTGACGAAGACATTGACACATCATCGGTCGCAGTATCGCAGCATCCCTTACGACTAGGGGACCTCAATTCCATGGTTTGTGCTCCCTTCTTCCGACCAATGGCGTATTGGCAGCTAGGATTGGTTGTTGTCATTGTATTCCTATGTCCTTTATGCTTAGGATTATACTGTTCCATTCCTAGGCTTTGTGATGACTGTAGTTCTCTTGCAGATTCCATAGAACTGTCTCGGAGGCTCTCATTAAAGGCCGACGCACACTGCCCCAATGCATGACGCTCACTCACATAGTCGCTCGAGCAGTTTCTAGGTTTCAGACTCCATAGAGCTCTTCGGTTATCAGACATTTGAGCGTCGGCGTGATTCTTTCTTCGATCTGCGAACCTACGCCAGGTGTGAGAATTGATGATTGAGTCGCAACTCGCAGAGTCGCTGGCATTTGAAGTCCTGATGAGGGTAGTTGCGCCAGACCAGCGGGAAAATCGCAAACGATCAATAATATGCGCAATATGGGGTTTGGTCGACGACTCCCCTCGTGTCGACGATGCCTTGCCGGGGTCTTTCTCTGCGGTTTCGTCCTTGTCTCCATCTACCACAGTATATCCATAGCCAAGACGTCGCCCTCCCGACATCCATCCAATACTGACTTTGCGCGGCGACGTCATTCCACTGCTCATTGCGACGGATCCGAGGGAGGTTATGGACCGGTTCAAATCGAACTGTTCGGTAAATCTGCTCTTCAAAGCATCTGCTTTACCAAGAGAGCCATGATCCAAAGACGAAACATGTTTTTCCAAGAGTGATACGCCTCGAGATGAAGGATTAGGGGAAAGAGCAGCGAAAGGTGTCCTGCTACAGCTGATTTCTCTCTTGTTTCGATTCATAACCGTCTTCTCAATATTCGCTGGAACGTCCGCAGACGTAGAGCCAGTCCTAGGAGAGTAGCACGAAGACGCTTGTCTCGCGTCTTGCACCCCCAGCTTTAATACTCCTCCGTCCCAGACCGGTGTCAATATTCTAGCGGGACTTCCAAAGCTACCGCCTTGGTATTGCGCGGCCCAAGTACCGGAGGTGCTGCCCTGTGGGTTCTCGTAGCTTGATTGACTGGGTGATAGGATCAGAGGTGAAGCTGACGCGGACGCCAGCATCTTGGAGATGTCCAAATCTGTGAGGTGGATCGACTGGTCTTCAGATGTCGATACTTGATGTCGTTGTCTTCTTTTTCTGATAAGCAATTCCGAAGAGTGCTCGGTTGACGGGCTGGCCAGATTGAGAGGATGGTCTGGGATATTATAGTCACGACCAGGAGACCCTGGGTGTTCTTGGAGTATAGGAGGGATGATGTCCTTGCCATCGAAGATGTCCAGGGATGCTGCTGAAGCCGAAGCAATTGGGACAGGGCCGCAGTTCGCATTGTTCTTGCCGGGAGTAGCTTCATTGCTAAGGCCCGCGGAAGGACAAGGACTCCCTCTGGCTTTAAGGCTTTGGACATTTGGTTCGTGGGAGATGAAAAAGCCATGCATTGCCTGCGGACTCCAGCCTTCATGCTCCGGTGAACTGAGTGACACTCCTGTCGGCTGATAAACCGGACACTTGCCGTCCTTTCCAAAGAGACTGTCCCCTTCGTCGTGGTAGGGTTGCGCAGGGGGTACAGCCTTACGACCGATACTGGCCGCAGCCTTTACATTGTCCGCAATGTGAATTGGACTGGAAATGAACTGCGCATCACTATCGTAGCCTCTTTCGCTCATCAAGCCGCTTCCAAACTCATGTGGTGCGGCAACGGCGCCGTTGTGCTTCGCAGACTTCGAATGGATCGAGAACAAAGAGGTTCCGGATCTTCTGACAGACCTTCGAGAAGCCACGTTCAGTCTCCTTGAGTCTCGAGAAAGCCTCCTTCGAAGCCTTCCCGAAAGCCCTTCAGAGGAACATCTTGGACTCTGAGGTATGATCGTATATTCATTCGCAGATGAAAGGCCTGGTCATGTCAGAAAGGGTGTTCGCCACAGGTATAACGAGCAGGTCATTCTCAATCACCTCTTGGATGGTCATCTAGGAAGAGTGGTGGCTCAGTCTCATCCAATTGGTATGGTTGTTCAGCAATGGGCGATGAGGGGTATTTCCAAATCCTTCTAAACCGACGGCAGAGAAGGAGATCCATTGAGCATCAGTGAGGTTCCCATGCACACAGGATGCGATCCTTGCAGACACATCGATCGCTGCGTAGTTTGCTGAAGCGGTGCATGTCCCGGAGATGGGCCGCAGATGCCAGGCTCAGCCCCGAGACTCTCAAGAGAACGATCATGGATGCTCAACACGGAAGCAGCGAACGGTTGTCTGGTGGTGAGTGTCAAGAGAAGGAAGGAGGCGTCCATGTTCTTACTTCTTCTGGCTTTTGAACCGACAGCTTTGCGATTCTTTCTTCCGTTCTAGAAGAAGACCTACAGGACGTCATTGGCTATATATATCATTCGGCGATGTAAATGGATGTCTCTGACCGAGTCAATCCACATCGGAGGAGCAGTAATGCGCCGAGAATATTACGCGGCGAAGTGTCTTTCCAACAACTGATAGGCATTTGCTCGTCTCATGCTTTGACTAGATTCTGCACATCCCACTGAGAACTCGTAGACTAGGAGTTTTCAAAAAGCGGTCTAGATACACTCGCAAATGTACTTGAGGTCTGTTCCATTCAGATTGACAAAGTCGGATGTAGATCGGCTTCCCTCCTATTATTTGGTCCGTAAAATCGTGTCTACCAAGGACACCTAAACTTGAGTCTGAAGAATTGTCGGACTGTTTCCATCTAAGGGTCTAGTCTGGCAACCGCATCACTCCTACTCATATAATGATCAATGGATCAGTAACCGTGCTGTATCACCATGTACTCCGTTCCCATAACCAATATCAGGCTTCCTCACTCTCCTACAGAATGCAGAGGACAGCTGTTGAAAACCTAGAGGTGGGAATCTGTACGGAGTATGTATGGTAAGAACCAGTAATATGGTGCCCAGGTACTGAAAGAGTACCTAATTAGTGGCCGATCACGGACCCCGAGCCGGATGGCCAGCGTTCTCCGATATCCCACTACGGAGTAAGGACACCAATTATGGGTCCCAAAGACTGGATGCAATGGATGGAGACTGACAGATTCTGGAGGAAAACCCATCACGCCATTTTGACTCATGACTACTTGGGTATGGTCTGGACGAGTTTATCATACTCCGTACATCGATGGTCATTGAAGAAACATCGATTTATTATTATTATTACCTGTCATAATAAAAACACCTAATAGCTCCGTGTATTACCAGCCAATTACCGCCGATTACCCCTCCATTCCCCTCCAACTTACTGTCTTTTTTTTCCCTCGTGCTGCTCCTATCTATCAGCGGGCCCACATCGAGGGGGCTTCCCCTCCATCCTCTCTCTGTATCCCAACATTAAATATTCCCCCATCCCTCTCTCTGCTTCTTCTCCTCCCTCTTCCTCTTTCATCCTTCCCTCTTCACTTTTGAACTCACCTTTCCTCAGCAAGAGACTGATCTCTCTTGTCTGTTTGCTTTATCCTTTTGTGTGACTTCAATTCATCCCTCTTACCATTCCTCTTTTCTCCTCCAAGTCTCGTATCCTCTTCCCTCTCACCCTTCGTTCGTATCACACATCATTCAAAAATGGTTCAATCGTAAGGACCCACTGACTCTCTTGACTGTTCCACGCCTTCTTGACATGCACTAATATCTGTGTCTGTAGCGCCGTTTTGGGTTTCCCTCGTATGGGAAAGCTCCGTGACCTCAAGAAGGCCACCGAAGCTTACTGGGGCGGCAAGATCTCTCGTGATGAGCTCGTGAGCGAGGGAAAGAGACTCCGTGCTGAGCACTGGAAGATCCAGAAGGATGCTGGTGTCGATATCATTCCCAGCAACGACTTTGCTTTCTACGATCAGGTCCTCGACCACATCCAGCTCTTCGGCGTAAGTTCCCCTGACCGTTTTATGGCATACTCCGCCTGGTAATCTAACAAAGTCATTGAATAGGTTGTCCCTGAGAGATACAGCAAGTACAACCTTGACCCCCTGGATGAGTACTTCGCCATGGGTCGTGGTCTCCAGAAGCCCGCCTCTGAGGGCCAGCCCGCCATTGACGTTCCTAGCTTGGTATGGTGGCCTCCTCCAACTACCACTTGTTCGCAAGGTTCCCCATTCTAATACGATACGTACAGGAAATGGTCAAGTGGTTCGACTCGAACTACCACTACGTCAAGCCTACCCTTCAGGAGAACCAGGTCTTCAAGCTCGCTGCCAACCCCAAGCCCGTTGCTCAGTTCCTCGAGGCCAAGGAGGCTGGCATCGTCACTCGTCCCGTCATCCTGGGTCCCGTCTCCTTCTTGACCCTCGCCAAGGCCGACCGCGGTCAAAAAGTTGACCCTATTGACAAGATCAACGACCTGGTTCCCCTCTACGTTGACCTCCTTGCCCAGCTGAAGGCTGCCGGTGTTGAGGACGTTCAGATTGACGAGCCTGTTCTCGTTTTCGATCTCCCTGTCAAGTCCAAGGCTGCCTTCAAGCCTGTTTACGAGAAGCTTGGTGCTCTCGGTGACAAGGCTCCCCGCATTGTCCTTGCCACCTACTTCGGTGACATTGTCCACAACATTGATGTTCTTCCTGCTCTGCACAACCTTTATGGTATCCACGTGGACCTTGTCCGCAACCCTGAGCAGCTCGATGCTATTATTTCCGCTCTTGGCCCCAAGCAGGTTCTCTCTGCTGGTGTTGTTGATGGTCGCAACATCTGGAAGACCAACTTCAAGGCTGCCATCGAGAAGGTTGAGCACGCTATCCAGAAGCTTGGCAAGGACAGAGTCATTGTCTCCACCTCCAGCTCTCTCCTCCACGTCCCCCACACCCTTGAGAGCGAAAAGAACCTCGATCCTGAGGTCCAGGATTGGTTCAGCTTCGCTGTTGAGAAGACCCACGAGGTTGTTGTGATCGCCAAGGCCGTCACTGAGGGCCCTGCTGCTGTCCGTGACCAGCTCGAGGCCAACGCTAAGTCCATTCAGGCTCGTGCCTCTTCCGCTCGCACCAACGACCCCAAGGTCAAGGAGCGCCAGGCTGCTGTCACCGATGAGATGCACAACCGCAAGTCTCCCTTCCCCATCCGTCTTGCCGAGCAGAGCAAGTCCATCAACCTTCCTCTCTTCCCCACCACCACCATCGGTTCCTTCCCTCAGACCAAGGAGATCCGTATCCAGCGTAACAAGTTCACCAAGGGTGAGATCACCGCTCAGGAGTACGAGAAGTTCATCGAGCAGGAGATTGCCGAGGTTGTCAAGATCCAGGAAGAGCTTGACCTCGACGTTCTCGTCCACGGTGAACCCGAGCGTAACGACATGGTTCAGTACTTCGGTGAGCGCCTCACTGGTTACGTCTTCACCACCCACGCCTGGGTCCAGAGTTACGGATCTCGCTGCGTGCGTCCTCCCATCATTGTCGGTGACATCTCGCGTCCCGCTCCCATGACTGTCAAGGAGTCCAAGTACGCCGTGTCTATCTCTAAGAAGCCCATGAAGGGTATGCTTACTGGCCCCATCACTTGCCTCCGCTGGTCTTTCCCTCGTGACGACGTCCACCAGTCCGTCCAGGCTCAGCAGCTGGCCCTTGCCCTCCGTGATGAGGTCATTGACCTAGAAGCCGCTGGTGTCAAGGTCATCCAGGTCGACGAGCCTGCTCTTCGTGAGGGTCTCCCTCTTCGCGCCGGCAAGGAGCGTGAGGACTACCTCGCCTGGGCCGTGCGTGCCTTCCGCCTGGCTACCACCGGTGTCTCCGACGGTACTCAGATTCACTCTCACTTCTGCTACTCTGAGTTCCAGGACTTCTTCCACGCCATTGCCGCTCTGGATGCTGATGTTCTCAGCATTGAGAACAGCAAGTCTGACGCCAAGCTGCTCAAGGTCTTCGTCGAGGAGGCTTACCCCCGCCACATCGGACCTGGTGTCTATGACATCCACTCTCCCCGTGTTCCCAGCGAGCAGGAGATCAAGGATCGCATCGAGGAGATGCTTCCTTACCTCCGCCCTGACCAGCTCTGGATCAACCCTGACTGTGGTCTGAAGACCCGTCAGTGGCCCGAGACCAAGGCTGCTCTGACCAACATGGTCAATGCTGCCAAGTTCTACCGCCAGAAGTACACCAAATAAATGGTGTGACTGGCTCTTTCAATAAACGGGGACGACATTCTTCAACCTGTCGCTCCGGAGTCAAACGAAACTTGTTTTCGTTTTGTTAATGTGATGAGTTACGACGATGATACCAAAAGTTCAACATAAGGGTTCAGGGTTTTGTATTAGAAAATATGGGGGTCAACGGAGTTTCAACATTTACGATTTCAACATCGGCGTTCAAGCCAAACATGACTGCCTCCTACATGCGGTCAGCATTTCCTTCGGTGGGATGTTTCTTTTTTTCGCTACTTCGGTTTTAATTAAAAGGGATATGCATGATCGCGGCAGTCGGCGCCGCTGATGGTTTTTTCTTCAATATTTCAACAATGTGTTGTACATGACACTGGAGGTACTGATTTAGATCTACCTCTTAGAGCCTAATCAAATGAAAGGCAATTTCCAATATATCTCTATTCTATCTCAGTAGACATTGTAAATGGTGACTGAAGGCCTGTGGATACGAGGATATTTCTTAAAAGCTTGTACCGCATCGACTGTCTGCGACGTGAAGAGTCATGACCCCTCCACCAAAGTAACTAGCGATGCCGTTGGGCCATACTATTTAGGAACGATGAGACCCTATCTCTGAGCTTTCATCGCAGAGGCTCACAAGCCAAATCCAGATCACAGCCACGAACACCATGGAACCGCAGCCCCTCGGCCCGCAACCGCCTTCTCCCCAAACTTCTCTACATACCACTTCCTCCCCCAGCGCGCATGAGGCAACATATTAGCAACCGCGTTAACAACAAATACGACTGCTGGAAGAGGCAGGGGAACCTGTAGTTTCGCCGCGAACGCCGCGGCGGGCCTCAGCCACAGAGCGATCTGCAAGGGCGGCGAGGTATAGGCGAGTGCCTGCCGGGTTGGGAAGACTGCCGTGCCGACGAGAGCGAAGCCGAGCCACTCGAGCCATTCGAAGGCGTAATGCGGGTAGAGAATGGAGCGGAAGACGCCGCGGGCGGCTGGGATGACGTAGACCTTGTCATATTTAGTCTTGTTGCCGTTGGCGTTGGCCTTCGCGTCAGTGGACGAGGACGAGGACGATACCTGGATGAAGGTCGGATGGTCCTCGTCTTCATTCTGGGTGATAGCCTCGTCAGACTTCTTGGCCGCGCCGCGCTTCTCTGCTGCTTCGCGGCGGAGACGGAAGAGCATGCGCTCCGAGTAGATATTGCCTATCATGCCGGCTGCGAAGAGGACCATCCCCAGGCAGGGCAGGAAGTGCGTTGCGGGGGAGTATCGCGACGACCCTCCCGGAGCGCCCGAGACGGTGCCATCGGTCTTGTACCCCAGCACCGGGACGTGGTATCCCACCAGCCAACCGGCCAGACACGACGAATTGAGCCAGTTGAACAGCACCGCCATGATGGCGACGGTCGCATGGATGGGAGACATGCTGGGGGCCGCGAAGAATGGCGAGATGATGGCGCGGTTGACATAGTGGATTACATAGAGGGTTGCAACGAGCTTATTAGATAGCGGAAGCGAGCTAATGTTGAGCGTTGGCGGCAATTTGTAAAGCAGGTAGAGCAGATTCACCGGTCCCACGAGCTCCATGATGAACCAGCCTAGTTTGCCTGGGATGTTCAGCCAGGAGCTCTGGTAGGAGCCTTTGCCTGCAGGGTGCCAGGAGACTGCCCATTGGACGAGCGAGAGCTGGTTCACGTTAGATTACGATAGTTTAAGGATTATTGTATAGACTTGCCACTGGGAAGTATTGGAAAATGTTGAGCAGGGTTGTATAGGCCTGGGGAGTAAGAAGGATGAAGTCCCCCAAAGGGGGAAGAGACCCCAAGAACGACGAAAATGCGGAGCCCATGTTCGCCTGTCTGAGAAATCAGTATAAGCAAGCAATACGGTGAACTAATAATATGATCAACGCTGATTTAAAGGAAAACATACGCGGTAATAGTCCCTGATCAAGCTTCCTGCTTCTTGCAAGGGTCACGCTGGTTCGCGATGCTCAGATGCTCAGGCGCTACAGAGAGTCTGAGACGATGGTGATCAAGGAAACTCCGGAAGTAAATCTTTCAGACCATGACTATATACCTATCTCAAGTCTCAGTACATCGAAGAGAAGTGAATTTAGAGATATGGTGAAGGTGAATCCCACGTCAACAAAGAACGATCAATAGCTTGAGTTTATCCAATGATGTCACGGGATTGTCACCACACGTGATCAGATGCTTAGTTACAGTTCGATGTATCGAACATCGATCAACTCCTCGTCACAACTGAAGATGGATGTATCTCTTCCCTCTCCTTAGCAGCCAGTACTCATGATGTATAGGTGTGTAGAAAGCAACGAGTACATAGTATATGGAAAATGTGAAGACAAATCGGTTCCAATCCCGGATGGTCAAGCATGGCATCCTTGATTCAACATGGAGTAATGCGCAAGAGGACTGGCTTGAGTGGCTTCAAATGTCGATGCCGAGCAAGTATTGTATTTATCCATCAACAACTTCTATGCAACTTTTTCTTGTGCTTCAATCAGTCGACGTATCCATAGTGTCAGTCACGGTCTGCGTTAGAGGCTGTCGTCGAGCCGTTAGTCTCTCCGCCTTAAATGCTTCAATCTTGGCTTTGAGCTCCGTATCTAGACAAGAATAGTCAGCCACTTCGCTTTCAACGCTCGAGACAGGCAAGAAACCAAAACTTACCAGGGGCCACGTCCTCCATCTTGAGCGGAGCTCTGTTGAACGGATCATGTGGGTCACTCAGAAGGTGAGACCGAAGAGTAGAACGATCCATGGATACCCTGGATCCAGGGAGGATAACTGGATCTTCCATCAAGGTATACATCAGGGGATCTAGCGAAAAGCTGTCAGCTATTTGGCCATCACAGGTAACTAACCCATCGAACATACCCAAGAATTCATCGGGAATTTCGCCCAGATCCTCCTCGGCTTGCTCGTCAGCCTCCTTGGCCGCCCTGACTTTCGCCTGCAGCTGTTCCCATTGTTGGAGCTCCTCCGGAGATTTCAGCGACCATTTTCGGAGGATATCCCCGGCCTTCTGAAAATTGGCCGGCTTGTAAGACCGTCCGTCCCTTGCGACGGCGAGGATGAAATTCTCCTTGGTCATCAGGTTGAGATACACATCGACGATTTCACTCAGCAAAGCCCGCGGGTTGAAACCGTACTCTTGCAGATTGTCCACTCGTAAGCTGGAGCTCTTCGGGCCAACCATGGCATCCAGGTTGTAATCAAGCATGTCTGCCAATCTCTGGACAATCTCAGGCATGGTGAACGAGTCTGCCAACGCTTCCGTAAATAACTTGAGCATGGCGACCGTCTCGTTTGTTAACTGCATGTAGGATTTGGCGTTCCGTTGCGCGGAAGCAAGATGCTCCTCTTTTTGCTGACGCTCCTGAGGATCCATGTTGTTCCCATTTCGACTGAGCTCCACCTGGGTATTATGAATCGTGATGAAGGCGCCAAAAGATTCATCAAGCACGTAAGTCACGTCGTTTAGGAGCAAGTTCACAAAGCGAACGAAAAAGTCCAGATTTTGCTTGGATTGGTTGTAGAGCTTGTTCCGATACAGAGTGTTTGGCCAGATACACTTGATAATCTGGAAGATTTCGTAGCGAATGTTGAACTTGTCAAAGAACTGGGTGTGCGTCCCCGTGTGCTCTGCTTCAATATAGAACTTCATGACGGCATGCAGCAGGTATTCATTAGCAAAGGGGAAGGAGTTCAAAAGATCGACCAGAACACCGCGGGCGCCACCAGGGCGAGGCCATGTCCCCCGAAACAGGATCGAAACAAGACCCGCTTTCAGGTAAGGGTTCTTGATGTAGTCCGAGCTCTCCAGGAAAGTGATACAGAGCATAACCAGCTCGTCTCCCTGTGTCGCAGTGATGATTTGGGGCATGCACCACATGATGAATTTGAAGTTGCTGACAATGTCATCAACAAAGTATTCGGGGAGACACTTGAAGACCTCCGGCTGCTGCTCCGGAAGAGGCAACTTAATCGGTTCTTTTGGAAAATTGACGCCGGACACAAGCCTGAGCAGCCAAACGGTGACATATCTCATGAACAGCATGGAGCGTGCCTGCCATTGATCGTCGAACAAAACGCCTTGCAGACTGTATTTAAGGGCGAGACCCAAATCCAGCTTGTCCTTGTATTTCTTCAGAGCCTGTTCAAATACCCTAAGCTGCACTGGGTTGCTGATCCATCTGGGTCGCTCCAACTCGAACCTCCTGATCGTACCCTCCATGTGTCGAAGATCCTTCTCAAGCTGGTCCAGCTTTGACGTCAGGGACTCACTTCCATAGTGATGAGCAGCAACAGTCAAAAAGAAGATTTCAGTGATGAAGTTAGAAGTCCCTTCTTCTTTCTTCGAGTAAAACGCGTCAGACGCATGCTGATCGGCATTGATCTTGGTTTCATCTTTCATATCAACGCGTGGGTTCCGGTGCAGATATCCCGCATCGATCCTGTCAATCTAAGAACCCGGTGAGCTTGGTGGAAGAGCATGAGATAAAGTGCATAGCCTACCTTGGTGAAGGTTGCGTCCATGAAAGGTTCACAAAGCTTGTCCAGACATGTTGTGAGATTGAACATGAAACCGTCCGAAGCTACAGTAGTAGGATCCACCTGCATTGCTCTTCGTTTGTGGTTGATGTTCAAAGCGGCAGCGAACCAGTCCAGGACTCTGTCTCTTGCCTCCTTACTGGCGCGAATGATATGGTTGACGACATCAAACAGATCTGAGCTGAGCATCTGCTGTATCATTCTCATGGATCTTTGCGCATTTAAGATATAAGACTGATCTCGAGTCTTGGGACTCGAGAAATAGGTCATGGTAATATTGCCCTGGAGAGGTGACAAGCGGAACCAGGGACCCAGAAGTGTCTCCTTCTCAAACAATGCTGGATCACGAGACTCGTTGAAAAAAGGAGACTCCGTAATAGCAGAGGCAATGACAGGATTACCAACCAGGTTTCGCAGAGCCTAGATAGGTTAGCAACAGGAATCTCGACGGGAAAAACCGCTAGAGGTATAGGTACTATTAGATAAGACTTGTAGTCATCATTGATAGTCATCGCAGCAAGGTCACGGCTCATCTCCTCTACAGCGGCGATGAAAGCCGGCTTGATGCTTTCGTCTTCCTCAAATCTCCTCACAGCTTCGCCCAAGAACTCAAGATCGACTCCCTTATCATCTTCGGGATCCAGAAGAAGATATGGCTTGAGCGGCGACCGCCCGGATGGCTCGAGACTAAGGGACAACAGAATCAGTCAATCTGTCGTCCGGTTTGGTCGACTCAACAAGGGAGAGGCAGGAACACACCCGAACATCTCCGGCATAGTGATCGCGAAGATGCAATAACTCATGCACAGGCGCCGAGCCTCACAGATGACGCCGAACTTTGGATCATCCCCGCGGGCACGGCGAAAACCCTTGTGCAGCCTTGAGATCCGCCCCCAGCATGGCAATAGGTAGTCCAAAGGCTTCTGCTGGGTATTCGATGCGGCTTCAAGGAGGGCCTGGTCCAGCACAGTAGTATCGATGCGTGGTTCGCGACCCTGGTCCTCGAGTTCGCTCCGTAAGCCAGGCAAATAGATCAACTTGTGCCCATGGATGTCCCGCTGTCGGTCTTCCCTCAAGCTAAGCTTGAAGACGGCGCTTAGTGTGCGATCCTCAAAGGATTCAATACTCTCTTCTGCCTTCGGTGGCGGAGGGGTGTTCGACACAGGGGTAGCAGATAATGACTCCGGTGCAGGACTGGCAGGGGCGGACGGTGTTATCTTAATTCGCTTGCCTTCTGATTCTTGCAACTCCGGCCGAGGCGAAGAAGTTTGGGAGCGCGGTGCGCTGCTGATATTGATGTGTGGCTGCGGAGCATCGGATGTTTGTTGGGTAGTAGGACTGGGCAGTGAAGGTGTAGAAGGCTGGGTAGAAGCTGTCTCTGGGCCTGCTGCATTTTGTGAGGATGAGGATGGGTTTCCAAGCTTTGCGAGGCGCTTGTTGCGGATCTGCACAAGGAGTTTTAGTTGTCATCCAGCCATAAAACCATTCACTTTGACAAAAGAGCGTCAAGCAGTACTGCACTCACCTTATCCGCATCAGAGAGAGTATCTGACATCCTCTGTTAACAGGGGAGATGTGAACGAATGCCCCAAGAGAAGAGGCTCTGTCAGCGGGGCAGAAGGGTGCGGAGAAAGATAGAGTAGGCGGTTACTAGTATGGCTGAATCAAGTGGGATCACAAAAAGGCAACAGTCAAGGAAATCTGTACTTTGGGGGAATCTGAGGACATCTATGATTTAGTAACAAGGAGCGTAACGACCAACCAGACCGATGGATGAATGCTAGTGGTCACTCTACAGTACTGGCGACATTCGGTCATGGTCGCTGAGTTTCGCCTGCATGATTAATGTCCCTAACTAAGCCCGGCAGACCGCCCTTGCCATTCCTCCACTTGTCAAGCATGAAAGATAAATTATTCACTTATCCCTCTGAAAGGCGATATCAAATGTCTCCGAGTTGATGTTTCTATTCTCTTCACAGCCGTTGATAAAAGTTATTTGCACAATAAGAGTAATCATAGACATCCAGTAACTCATCAGTCCATAGGACGCCATCGAAAATCTCCGCCAGTCATTTGCTTCTAATGCAAAACAGAAAAGCAGACAGAAGGAGAAGCGGCCAACTGGAATTATGAAGAACCAAGATCGCAGGTCAATATGTAAAAAGGACGTATCGTGACGCTGGTTAATATCTCCCCTTCAGAGAATCTAACCGCCGGCAACTCTTAAGCTCCATGGACCTCGCCTCCTTCATCTTCTCTACATCTGGGAAGA